TAGTATTAATTCTAAATCTAGGTGCCAAATTTTTAGAACTAGAACTACTTCCTCCTCCTCCCCTATTATTTTTTCTTTCCGACATTGGTCTTTTACCACTATTTCTTTCCAAATTCATGTTCAAGTTTAAAATAATTAAATATTATGAAAAACAAGCAAGATAATATAACAAAATAAAATAAAATAACTTAATTAATAAACAAATAAAAAATTAAATTTGGAACGAATGTACCGAACGTCTACGTAAAAATAGACGTATAACCAAAGCTGGAATTGAGAGATGCCAATTGAAGCTTCCGGTTTACTTCAAATAAATCTCCAAAATCCGAACTCCAAGTCAATATCACAAAATAATAATTATGAATTTATGAGAGATTGAAAATTAAGAGATTTTATAAGATGTTAATGAAATAGTTTATGAATTTGTGATTTAAATGAAAAAAATATGGGTATATTTATAGTGTTAAGGGGTTAGAGAGGGGTAGGGCAGTTTTGAGCCGTTTTAGGCCCCAGCCAACGACTATATAACGTTCAACTTTAAAAAAAATAAAATTGGAACTGACCGTTGAACCGGATCAACCGGACAGGAACCAGTTCTTACCGCACCGGATCAACCGGATAAAAAACCGGGTTCCATTTCGGTACCGGTTCCGATACCTATAAGATTGATTGTTTTATTTAAAAAGATATTTTAAGACTGGTTTAGAGTCGTCACTTAGTTTTTAAGGTGAAATTAAGAAAATTGATTTTTTCAATAGATTAAAACAGAAATCAATTGTAAATATACAAAGGGTTCGAGGTTCTTATTAGCATTTCGGGAAGGGTTCTAAAGCACCCGAAATGCCAACTAATACGCGATTATCCGGCGATTAATTATTTGGCTAAAAATAATCTTAACTTAGCTTGAATTGCAAAATTGAACTGTTTTGTAATTATGACCATTTTAAGGGGAAAATGTTGAAATATATCTAAGCGAAATATTTTGTAAACCTATTTATTTATTGTTTATTTATTTTTTAAGTCAAGTGAAAGATGAGTAATTTAGTTAAGTAATTAATTCAAAATGGGTGTCTTTCGGGGATTTGAATTTTTAAAACCTTAAGGTTAAACAACAAATATTAACAAGTAAATAAACATAATCAAAATGAAGAGGGAAAGAGATTTGGGCTCAAATCTGGTTTTTCTGTCCATTTGGGCCAGTATTTGAGCCCATTTGAGTCACCTGCACCTGTCCTACACTAACGTAAAAGAAATATATTTCTTATATTTTGGGCCTTAGGCCCAATTCTTTCAACCGTCCTAAACTTCTAACAAAAATAATAATAATGACTAAATGAGCTTAGGCCCAATAAATAACAAAATATCGTTTTTGAAATAAAGAGTGGGCCTTTAGCCAATTTTTTGACTCTCCAATCTGTTGCATATTCTTTCAAGCTCCAGGACCTGTTCGTCATTTTTCTGAAGGATCTGACTCGATAAAAATTTTTGGGGCCTTCGTGGCCCATTTCGAAATGTGAAAGGATGGAGGACTTGGGTTCAATTTGGACTTCATACGAAATCACATGATACAAAAAGGAGGACAAATTAGCCGAATGAAAGAGATACGGAATAAACAATAATTTAATGAAATAAAATAAAAGTGAAAGAAAAGAGGCCACTACATTAATCAATCTTGACAGGGAGGACACATATGGTTTACACAAGATAGTTTTGATCAAATCGAGACTGCTTTAACAATGGAATGAAGGCGAATAAAATAATCTAGGCTATAATACTCGATCGATCACAGACTTCTGTTAATTTTGAAAGACCATGCAGAACACTAATGAAGTCACTTTAGTTTGTCAAAATACCACGTAACGGTAATAACCTTAAGCTCAAACTTAATGAATGGAGGAACTAAGCGTTATTTTAAAAAAAAATCAACAATTACCCCGTGCTTATCCAAATATTGGGATCATTGGGGGGTCCACTTACAATATTTTAAAGCATGAGATGAGACACAAAAAATGTAACAAAAGGCAAAGTCACGTGTATCATATAAAAAAAGGAATGTGTAGGATCAGTACATTACAACTTACTATACTAATTTGAAATAAAAGAAGAGGACTTCACAATAACTACCATATAAAAAAAACTGAAACAGCGGGACCCACAGATGAAAAATCTTGCACAAATCTAAAACATGGAAATATGAATTTGATTACTTTTTATTGAGAGAAAAGGGATGACTATATGTATGTTGAGCAATTTTTCAGAATGACATGAAAAACAGTGAAGACCAAAGTTTAAACAAAATCAACATTGATATTTGAACAACACATCAACCACCGAACTTTTGTAATTAAGCAATAAGTCAACAACAAGTAAGAAAAATTTCTACCAATGATAATCAATAGGGAGCCGATAATTTGAGAACGAGCTTTTCGAAGGTAGAATCGATACCACTAAACTCCAATTAGAACATATGCGAGAAAAAAAGAAGCTGGGTCTCGAGATCTTAGGCTAAGATAAACAGCTACTAATTTGGCATAATACGAGGCGACATATATAACAAACCTTTCTTCCAACAACAAACTCCAAATAATAAGGAAAGATGCATACCATACTCTCCTATGACTAAACAAGACAGTAGACAACATGTGTAATATTAAAAAGAACCTAAACGTTTTAACATACGCTAATCCTCACAACAATATTTAAGAGGTAAGTCATGGGAATCATATGACTCCCTACAAGAACAAAAGAGGGATTTTAACACCTATCGAAAAATGAAAAATGCGAATAAGAAGGATAGGCATGCTTATTTCAAATAACACATATGGCAATTGTAACAATCCACGAGACAACAGTTTCCCGACTTAACAAACTAAGGACGAAATCAAAGAATAGAGATGACCAAGATATTATATCCGGAAGGCAATAAAACAAAATCATTACTATTAAGTTGATTATCTTCCCGGGTTCCTATTCTTATCCGAGAGCAACACTAATACTAACATACCAAACGAAGCCCAACGCTTTAAGGTGGTGTAAACAAGCGAAAACAGACATTCAAAAAGAGAAATCGAAAGGACAAATAACAAAAAAACAAAGGCTTGAACAGAGGAGTAGAACTTCCACCATACTAAAAACAACAGAAACTTTGACTCGACACTAAGATTAAATAACAGAAATCGCTTAAAAACGCACATGGTATATCAAGATACCAAGAACTTAGTGACAAGCCACAACAAAACAGACTTTAAGAAGCTAGAACATCATTTTAGAGTGTAAGAGATGAAAGAATGTCGTAAAGGAGAAGGAATTACCTTATTTCAGGCAGCGAATTGGAACGGACGAGTTCGAGACAGCCGACTTCCACCACCACACGAGACTTTTCCCCAAAAAGCTTGGATGAGCTTCAAGAGAAAAACTTTTAAAAATGACTTGCCCTCCCCACTTTTTTACTGTTTAATCGATTTATAAAGGAATATATTTTCTCTGTTTTTCTTATATCTCTGGTATTTTTCCTCCAAATCTTTTTCAACTCTCTGCCTTAGTTCAAAAGAAAAATTTAACTCCCAAAAAAATCCCTTTTTCACAGTGAACAACAAGCAAATATATAGAAGGGAAATAGGGTTCGCTTAAGGGGGCACTACAACAAATGTGATATTTAGCTACGAAATTATTAGTTACGATATAAAATTCGTCACTAATTATTCACCTTTTATGACAGAAAATACATTTCGTATTTAAATGTATGTGCAACATACTTTTAGTGACGAAATGTACAATTTCGTAGCAAAGTTTTGTCCAGTAAAGTTTCCCACCAAAAATAATTTGGCGCCATTTATTAAGTACAACTAGTGACAAATTTTAATTCATCAATGACACATTATTTTGTCGCTAATAATGTATCCAATTTGTGACAAAATGTTATTTGTCATAAAATTAGTTACAATTTTGGACACGAAAAAATTTCATCACAAAATATAAGTTGTTGCAATAGCGACAAAATAGAGTTCGTAGTTGAATGTTGTAAGCTTTTAGCCACAAAGTTATATATTTAATAGTGACCTTAGTTTTCGTCTCTAATAATATAAGCAATTAGTGACGATTATTTTATTGTCTCTAATTAACCTGCAACTTAGTGACAACATAATTTTGTCACAAAATATACAATGGTTAAATAGTGACAATTTAAATTTTGTAGTTGAATAATTTAACCATTTATCACGATTTTTTAAAATTTAAATATAAAAATAACATTTGGCTACGCTCGAGTGCAGATCTATAGGGTAGTGAGAGAGTTCACCAGCAGGGCCGGACCCACATGGGTTCCAAGGGGTTCACCTGAACCCCCTCGGTAAAAAATTACACGGTATATATAAGGTAAATTTTCTGTATTTATGTAGACATGTATAACAATTTTTTGTGTTCATTGCAGACATGTATAACAATTTTTTGACAAAAATAAAATCAATGTCAGCCACTTGACAAAAGAGATGCATGCTATTAAAGACATCTCATAATGAATATTTAAAATAGATTAACAACACTAATAAATAAGGAACAAAAATATTTTCTGGGTAAATAATATTAACAAAAAATAATATGAATGAAAAGCCTCTACTACTTGAGCAAATATGTTTTCCAGGTCTTCTATAACCTCTAACATAGAAGAAATCGTTAATTATTGTAGTGACTACACCATTCTCGAGATATGACAAGTAGACATCAGATTTGTACTAGAACGAACAACACTAAAATTTTAGTAAACCTTTACTAAAACCGCAACAGAGCACCAACAATGCATCAAAATAGCTCCAAAAGCTCATCAAAATAACATTAGAATTGCACCTAAATAGTATTGACAATGAACCAAAATAGCTGGACGAAATTCACACTAATACAACACTATGGTTGCACCAACATAGCAGCAAAAGATCGAAAATTACACCAGAAAAGTATCAAAATGACATTTGAATTACACCAAAACAACAGCATCACAATAGCCTCTAAATCAGCATTAAACTTGCATCAACACCACCACCAGAAAGCACTAGAACTGCACCAAAAACAACAACAGAAAATCACCGTAACAACAGCAAAACAGCTCCAAAACTGCACGACAAAAGCTCCAAAAACAGACTCCAAAATTGCACCAAAAAAACCGCACCATATTCACACTAAAACAACACAAAAATTGCACCAAACCTTTTGGACTTGCTCATTAACTTCTAACGCTTCCAGAACTCTGCTTACCCACCTGCATCATGTGACCTCATAGCATCAAGTAGATCAAATTTAAGCGTAACTGACAAATACATAACGGAAAGTGGAAACCAATATATAGTCCCTGCCTCCTAGATATCTCACTACATCCCTAAAAGAGTTAGCATGAGAGGTAATACTCCCATGGGTCAATGAGCATATCAGCATATGGTCTTTGCCCCAATTGAGAACCGGGTTCTATCACAAGTACTCATATTAGCAGTTAGGAAATAGCCAAGAACCTGACACTTAAAATCTGGTGCTTGACAATAAAGATTATCCACCACATTCTGCATGATCATTCACCAAGCCACTCAACCCTAGCTCCTAAATGCTTAAGCTTTCTCAATGGAATAACTTACAGTACTAACATTTGACTTAAATTTAGTCTGATTTTTATTTGATATAGTTGTAGAAAGATGAAACACAAATATTCAAATTAAACTTGTACTTGCCAAGTCACAACATCACCCAATTTACTCAGCATATAACCTTCTAGTCAGATGGGAGTTTCGATTGCCAAGACAAGGGGCATAAGAAAAAGAGGATAGATAGCAGTAGCGCCTTGCCCTTTATCAGACAAGAATGTGATAAAAAGATACATGGAAAAAGAATTGAGAATGCATTGCTTGATCATTCTCCTGAGCAATTGAGTGTTTATACAGACATCTAGTCAAAATTAGGAAAGACATAACTACAAATAAATAATATCTATGTAATTGATTCTATCTAATATACACAATATTTTCAAAGAGAGTCAAGCAAGGAGAATAATAGTCTCTTGTAAAGCTACTTAATACAATGTTATCCTTCACTAAAAGCTACTTACTAAAATATTACCTTAAAAAATAGTAGCAGTAGTAGTAGTAATTACCAACAACATACCGAGTGTATTCCCACAAGTGGGGTCTGGGAGGGTGGTGTGCACGCAGCCTTACCACTACCTTGTGAAGGTAGAGAGACTGCTCCCAATAGACCCTTTACTCAAATAAAGCATATCAAAACCAATGATGAAAGGAAATGCCATAGTGAAGTAACCATATCGGTAGCAACAACAAACAGTACAATAACCGAAGCAAAAAAACAAACATGTAATGATAAAATCGAAGCATCAGAAGTAGTAATTACCAATTCAATAAAGTACTATGGAAAATTATGAGCCACTATTAAGACACAAGAAAAATGTGGTAAATAGGTAAGAATAGAAAAGGATGGGTGTCTTAGAACTTCTGTAGAGTTTTAATTTGAAGATGAGCTTTTGAAAGAAGTGTCTCATTTAACATTGAGCTCCATAATATTGAAAAGGTTAAACAAATAATATTGTGAATGGTTACAGGAAGGTTAAAATTTCTAAGAGATAACCCTATGCAGCAGAGAGCTAAGTCTTATGAATGGTATTTGGGATGATTCTCACTGGTTTATTTTATAATTTAGGTAGAAAACTACATAGGTTAGAAGGGACAAACAAAGAATATATGATCCCTATTCCCTATATATGACTTCTGAAGAAAGAAAATATAAAGACAAGGACCAGAATGAAGTATAGTTTCCCATTTGATGCTTTATACTCTTCTCACAGCCAACTCTTTCCATATGACAGTGAATAGTTACTTCACAGCAAAAGAGATCATACCAACTACATGAGGCAAACATAGATGCTAAAATAGCAGTTTATGTATTGGAAGTAGCACTCTTCTTCTTGCAGAACAGAGTCAAAGTAACTTATAATATTTGGGACAACCAGAAAGGAAGAAAAGTCAATCAAAAAAACAGAATAAGAGACTTAGATCAACAAGTTACCCTTCAAGACCAGGACTTGTTGGATAGTATATATTTCTGAACCCAAGTTTTTTAGCTGCAGAAGTTGTTGTCTCCCCAATACATTCAACAGCATTGTCCCACTGTCTCGATGCAGTAAGATTAGCCCATACCCTGTCAAATAACCCAGCAGAAGGAAAAAGGAATGAGAAAGGAAAAAGAGAATAAAGCCTCTAAATGAACCATACCCTGTTCCCTGGCTCAATGAACTATGTCCGAAAACATCTGTCTAATATTTTCTAGCATGTTGGTGGAATTACAGTTATCCGCTATAGAATTAGTGCACTTGCTTATGACAATAATAGATATCAACGTGTCATCTGTCTACTTTTGGTATAAAAATGAATATTTTGGAACATTGTACCTGAGGGCAGAAGGAGATGCTACAGCAACAACGGGAGCAGAGAGTGCTAGTTCAAGAAGATATTGATCAACGTGATTGACTGGTGCCTGCAAGAAATGGAAAGGTTATACGCAGTAGAATGAAAACTAATTAGTTCCATCTCAAGAGAAGGATCCAAGATGTGGTGCTTTATCTGAACTTTGACCATATGTCAGGAAAAGATGACAAGTGGCCCTCTTTTTCAGGGCAAGTGCGTGTTACCAAATTTGCAAGCACACTGGTCTCATGTGAGTAAAAATGAATTTTCTTCTCCAATTGGGCAATGGAGAAATATCATACCGTTGTGTAAGTGTTCAGCCGAGTAACCTCGAATCCCCGCCCAAAATGTCCTTCCTCTGAAATAAAGGAGCCATATGTCAGTTTAAAACTACTCAAAGTACTTCTGTATTCCGAGGAAAATTTGCATACTAAACATAAACTATCAAGCTGAGACAGTTGCAAAATATCGGATGAATGAGACTCTTGTACAGATTATGGCCATGAGGAAAGGGAATGGGCTGTGATTTTTGGGGTTAATATGTTTCTTTTGTTCTTCCTTTTTAATTTTTTTCTTGAATGACGGTTTACAATAGAAAAAGGCACCTTTGCAGAAACTATAGATCCCTACAGAACCAGAAAAATCAGAACGAGAATGCATGGAAAAAGAGATTTCTGTATGAAATCAGGTTGATGGGAGAATTAGGCGAGACAGAAACATAAAGAGATGGAGCAATATATCGATGTCAGTGCTGGCTTTTGCTGAAGCAGGATAGAGAACAGTGCACTTGTCATTCCCATTCTTCGGAAGCTCTAAAGCTAAAACCTTGCCAGTTGCTGAAAATGCAAATATAATGAAATTTTCAGTCAGCCAGGCAAAAACATAACATCAGTCAATTTTTTACTGCAGAACAGTTTGCAAGGAAAAAAATGTATTTAAATGAATGACAAATGCAAGTGTCATCCCTGATGCACATGTGTGTGCCTTATGCTATTTCTAAATGTCAAAAGAGCAAGTGGGAAGTTTACTCAATACCCTTTGATGGTGCAAATGCCACATCAAGATACTGCTTTGAAGACTGAACAACTTCATCAAATATGCTGGCTGTACCAGATCCAACAACTCACATAACTGTGAGGAGAACTTTAAGATTTGGAGACCAACTTCAAAAATAAATTTCCATCAATAAGAAAGGTTTTTGATGTTGATGAGAAATCGAGTAACAATAAAAAGAGCAGGGGAGCGATTCCAAATTAACACTGTTGTTGGATTCAAGAAATTATTTCTCAGGTTATTTCTGGTGCAATTCGAGTGACTCCAACAACTGGAGAGGAAATAGCACACTTTAATCTAGCTATGCTCAAAGAATCAAGTCATTCCACCGTGCCAATATCCAGTTCTAGAGATGGCAATAGTAATAATGTTTACAGTCCTAGATCACCTCAGAGTCATAAGGATGCTAAGCAGCAAAATTTACAACACTTGCAGGCAGGTATGAATTAAGAAATAAATTCTCAAAAGCCCACAAATTGTAATGTTGATCCTGAAGTCCAGGAATGAGCTGATTTCTCTAATTGAAAGTTGTAAACATGACATGAGGGTCATTCAAGTTAACTGGTTTAAACCTCTTCCATCCATTGTTAAATTAAATACTCATGGGAGCGCTTTGAAGAACCCAGGAAAGATTGGGACTGGTGGTATTCTTATAGATCACAAATGTGACTTGATTTATGTAGATAGAGGAACATCCTCCATAGGACAATCCAATGCAATCCAAATTAAGTTAATGTATTAAATAAGAAAACACTTAATGAAAGCAAACAATCCAGACCAGACCCAAAATTTAAAAAATAGAGAAAACTCCAATAGAAGTCTAATGAAACAGAGGAAACAGTCAAACGAGTGCGAGCAAAAGTTTGAAATTATTTTTTTAGCCAGACTCTAGCGAGGAAGAAAAAGAAGGAGATGATGAGGAACAAGAATAATAGAATACATACCTGGAAGAAGAAGGAGAGACGCACTAGTCGTAGTCAATGAAAGGTAAGCCCCTACAACTATGAAGTTACATCAAAAAATCAATGTCATCTTCATCATCTGTGTCACCATCTTCATCTTTATCAATACTTGTAGTGCCTTCAGTTCTATCAAGATCACTTATGTACTCAATTATACTGTCGTCCTCTAGGTCAGAATCTTCGGTATTGTAACCAAATTCATGTTCTGTTTGAACCTTAAATTCATATGCACTTGAATCCAAGGTAATTGAATCAACATCATCTCTATGTAATTGGATCGGCATATCCTCAATAGAAACATCTATCATGTTACTTTCCATTGACACATCTTGATACACTTCATCAGTAGTGTGTAATTCATCACTTTCCACCTTTGAATTTTGCATCTCTAGCACATCATATATATGTCTATCTTGAAATTTTTGCACAATTCGCCAATTTTTTCCTAATTTCGGATCACAAATATAAAATACTTGCTTTGCTTGAGTAGCTAGTACAAAAGAATCATGTTCATACCAAAATCTATTTACATTTATACTGGTAAAATTTTTATCTTTCTGCATCCCAGTTTTTTTACGAAGATCAAACCACTTGCATTTAAATAGAACAACTCGATTGCCTTCTATATACTCTAACTCATTAATGTCAACTATAATACCATAAAAGTCAATCACTTCATTTTCATGATAGCCTTCAACAACTGTGCCACTATTTTGACTTTTACGTAATTCATCACGACTTTGAATATGGTACCTAACACCATTAACAATACAACCAGGATATCTCCTTCCTCGAATATTAGGTCCCATTGCCAAAGGATATAACTTCTTGATAGACATTGAATTCTCCTTATTAGACAAATGCATAATCTATGATGAAAAATTATTGCATTCAATTAGTAAAGAAGAAAAAGTTAAACTTAAACACAACACGATTGTCATTTTTAAAATCACTTACTTTCCCTTTGAACCATAAAGAAAAATGTTCTCTATGTTTCTCTTCTATATTCACAACATCTTGGTTTAACAACTCATTTTTGTGTTCCCTACATAGGAAAAATGAATTTATGAGTAATTTAAAATAACAGAAAACCAATATAGATAAATAGGAAAACTTACTGTAGAAAAGGCTTTGCTTCTTCACAATTATTTAACACATACCACTGAGCCATATCAAAATCTTTCTTCGGTATTGCATCATATTCTCCTTTAAATGGTCTAACACTTTTAGAAAATATGGTCTAACAACATATTAAATGACTTGTTGCTCCACTGATTGTACACTTTCAAGTGGAGCAATTTCACAACAAATGAAAGCTTCGAAAATTTTTTGCATCCCGGGTACAATTCACATTCAGCTTCTTTCAACAATTTCTCAAACTTCTTTGCTTCGCTCTCGCTCAAATTATCACATCCATTGTTACTGGATGTTGTCTCCTGATTGGCTTGTGATTTTCCACCGATTTCTTCTAACATGTCATGTATTTCATTATGGCTGACATTTTCTTCATTTATCCATTCCTCATTTTCATCTTCATTGTCAATTGCTTCATCATTATCTCTCATTTGTGATTGTTCTCCATGGTATATCCATTGCACGTAATCTTTCATAATTCCTTTCAACAACAAGTCATCATATACTACATCTTGTGTTTGAAAATTTATATTTAAACAATCTTGGCAGGGGCATCGAATTTTAGTATTTCGATCAAAGTGAGTTCGGATAAGTTTCATAAAAGATGGACACCCTCTACATATCTTTTAAAGAACTTTGGTTCATGCATCCATCCCTTATCCATGATAAACTGCACAAACATATAACCAAATAATAATTAAATACTATAAAAAAACTGACTTCACAAGGTAAAATTAATTTTAAGCTCTTCGCAGGTCTTTCGAAAACACAATAGATGCCACAACAATCAAACTGTTGTTAAGCCTAGCAACTGCTGATGCTTGAGCTATATGACCAAGTAGTATAAAACCTACTTGACTACCTAAAACTCACGCCCAATCAACTCCTAATATCACTCGGTAAATCAGACTTCACTAGTGAACAAAATCGCCTCTCAGACAATCTGTCGAACATGTTGCAGGCATCCTAATATAAGCTTTGTTTTGGCAGCAATGAACGGGTGTTCAACCCTTCTGAAAAGTTTAGAACTTTAGTTTATATTTCAGAATAACATTCACAATAATCCCTATTCATAGGGACTCATAAACTGCGTCACTAATAAAGCACATAATTCATGTAACTTTGCATAAATATGGGCTTGAAGCCTGAAGGGGATATGGGATGGTTCTGATAGCAAACAAGAGAGAGAAGAAACATAGAACCTTACCTGAATATATACTAGCGAGGTGGAGGTATGAGCAAAAAGATCGGTGACAAGTCCCACAACTACTGAATAGGAGAATCGTGAGAGCTAAACAGATGGGAAAGATGGGTATCTTTTGTTTTGGATGAGAAATAATGAGAGTAGATGTTGGGTTGTTTTGAAATCAGAGTGCAAAAAACTTATCAACTTTAGCTCATTTATCAATAAAAAGTAATGAATCATTTATATATTTGACTCATCTAATGACTTTTCTTTTTGTTCCCCTAAATTTTATTTCTTATCAACTTTATTCACTTGACTATATATTTTATATATATATAGAAAATTATATTTTTGTCTGATCTGTTATTCTTTTTCAGTCCGAGTTGAGTTCGAGTTCAGAATCCATCGATTTAAAGATCCAACTCCTGCACCCCGTTTACTGCCGTGAAACAGATGATCTTCGTCCCTTTACGTTTATTTCTATTATTGTCTCTATGAAAGAGTTATGTCTATTGTAAGAATAAATCATGTAATTAGTGGAGTTGTAAGCATAAGTTTTCTTCCAAATATTTAGTAATTGTCGCGTAAGATTGTCAAGTGGTCGTGGTTTGATCTCATTCTTATCATGAAAATACTTCTTTGTAGTTGAATATGAGGAATTTGAAGTTTAGCTTGTGCCAAAATTAAAATACATGTATTATGATTTAGTTAATTTTAGTTGGTTCAAAAGTCTTAATCGCTAAATGAGTATTTTGTTTGATAGATTTAATTGAGAGTGGATTGAAGTTGATCGCAAGTCTCAATAACAAATATAGTAGTGAAAGTACATTCAATAAGTCACTCCTAGCGTGTTTCTACCACAAAAAGTTAGTGTAACACTCCAATTATTGACATTTATCTTAGGGAGTATACATATCATTGGACAAAATTCTCTTTTTCAAAACTCGACCCGACTTCAGCTATTCATGCCCAAAATGGCCCCTTGCGCCCATATCGTGTGAAAATACCTCCTCTCACAAAATATATTTTTAATTGTACACCTTTTGTCTTACGTGGAACTCTCCCTGACTCCACTTAGTAGAGGCACATGGGTGGTGATTGGAGGCCACATAGGCTAAAAAGGCGTACAAAATTACAAAATGGATTCGAGGGGGGTAATAGGACCTTAATTTAGTTAAGGTGTGTCTCTGATATTTCGGTCATATAGTGTAGGAGGTACTTGTGCCTTATCCCACAATACTAACATCAAAGAACAAGTTTTTAGACGTTAATGATACAATACAAAAAGACAGTTTTTTTAACAGCTTGAATTGCTAATTGAAAATTCCCCAAACCAAACATTATGGAATTATAGTACCGAAAAAGAATAGAGGAACATTGTACCATACCATTTTAATTTGGTATGATATTGCTATAGGATTTTAATTTGGATCAATGTGGCATGTAAATATTACAATATGTTATTTTAAACTTCTATAAAGTAATTCTTTATAAAGAATTGTTTTTATTATAATGGCAAGATAGTTAAATTTATTTTTAAAATGTTAATATATTTTTTTTTATAAAAAAAACACGTGGAATGTCAAATATCGTACTAATTGGAATATATTTTAAGATATTCCAATCACGCCAATAATGACGGGATGATCACACACTGAAATTCCACAGATTTCAACTATAAAATTATTTTACATCTTATAGCGTACAGATTTACAACCTTGTAATTGCTTCTAAATTTATCTTTAAACATAAGGAGTGAGAATTTATTTTTTTTCTTTTCTTTTTTCTCCTCTTTTTTTTTATATATATATATATATATATATATATATATATATATATTCCAAATAAGCTTTTAAGATAAATAGCTTAACTTCCTTCAGAAGAAAACATAACTTAACACTCCTACCACTTCTCAACCTTTCCACTTCCCAAGTTTTTGGGATTACCGCCCCAACTCTTAAAATTTCTTTTTTGATTCCACCAAAACAGAACCATCGATCTTTGGGATAAAAAATGCAAAAAAGAACTGCGTTTTGGCGCTTAATTTCTGAAATTTTTGGCTCCAAAATTGATTTTAGAAGAATGTATATATATACATATGTGACAAATGAAAAGCGAACTCCTGACTGAAGTTACATTTCCGAGCTTGAAGAAACGTACCAGGTATGAATGATTCCTTTGAAAAAACAGAGAACAAGAAGACTGAAATTCGTTCTTCCCTTTGATTTTTCAGCACTATATTTCTTTGTAACGATTTAAGCTCAATGAAATCAGTTGATGTGCTGTAAGATTTTGTATTTTGT